TACTCGGCGTCTCTGATGAAACGTTCTGCGATTAGACGAATCACTGCGTTTTTTCTTTCGACAATCCCGAGCTTATTATGGCGACGAGACGGACGAGCTTCGAATCTGGCGCCAATGTAAGCGATGAACTCTTTGAACCTCCGGTTGTTGAACTCCTGGTCTGCTGATACAAGTTCAGGGGCTCCATGGACGTTGCACCATTGTGCCTCGAACTCCTTCGTGGCGAGGTCCATCTCCCTGGAGTCCAGGAGGGCGGTCCCCGAGAATCCGGTGTGCACCTCGACCAGATGGAGTATCGGCTTCTTGCAGAGCTCGACAATGTACATGAAGTCGATCTGGACGTTGCTGTTGAAGTAGGCAAGGATCTTGCTAAAAGAGAACTTGCGAGAGATCAGTGGTCTCCCCGTAGATTTGCAAGAAGTGCACTTGCTTACGACGGTGCTCAGGGCTTGCCGCAGAATTGGAGTAAGAACTCCGCCTCTTTTGCAAAGCGTCAACATGTCCTGCAAAGGTAGATGGCTGAACCCATGAAGCCGGACGGCAAATTGTTTGGAAACCCTGCCATCCGAGAACCTCTCCCTCTTCAACGCTGATCGATCACCCTTTTTCACAAAAAGGGTCCGATACGTGGCAAAGTACGCCTTAAACGTTGACGTCTTGGATGGGACAATGAAGAGGTATGTTCTCTTGGCGTCCTTGTCTTCCAAAGAGACGGGTTCGCTGTACGTCTGCAGCGTTAGCTGCTTCTTGAAGTGCCGCGAACCCCTGCGGAAATTACGAGAAGGTTCTCCGGACCCAGCAAACGAGATTGGTGAAGGATCTCGTTGCCGAGTAACAGGAAGCCGTTACCGGGTGTCAAATAGAACGGAATCTTGGCTTCCTGTCCGAAGACATCCTTGACCGGCATATCCCATATGGCGATGGTAAGTTCCGCTTCGCTGCAGTGCATGCCATACCCGTGGAAGAAAGGGTCGCAGTCCAAAAGTCGCAGCTCGAAGGAGATACCGAGAGCAAGGCACAACGCCGCCGCAGCTTCGATCCCTCCGACGCTGCGTGGACATCCGACGTCCAGAATCGGGTTAACGTCTTCGAGACCCGTTCTGACGTCAGACACGGCTCCACGATCCGACATAAGGCTTAGTTGTTTCCTTGTCCGGAGCTGGAGCCTGGGCGAAAAAAATTCTTTTGCTGCCTTTGTCCCTGGGAAGAAGTCATTTGGGTCGGATTGGGACGACGCTTCGTCATGGTGTATTTGCTGGGAAATTTGCAACGCAGATCTCCAGCATAGTGGTCTTCATCGCTGCAGTCAAAGCAGACTTGCCTGCGAAGGTTGGGGGGAAGAAGGGACTTCTCACTTGGTCCACCTTCCCCTCGACCTCTCTTTCAACGACGCGTCTTCTTGTTGCTGTCGTCCTTTGCATGCCTGTTTTCACCTCGAGCACCCACTTTGCGATCGGACCTGTATCCAACTGAAAATAGGGCTTGCTGCACGTTGCCTTGGACCAGAGATTCTACTTCTCTCATGTTCATCGACGAAGAAGAGCTGATCGCCGTGAGAGTGAGGTTCCCAAGAACGGAAACGGCGTCATCAAGATTGAGTCGACAGGCTTGCTTTTTTGAAAGAATCCTTGACTCGACTGAGGCGTCAGAGGATTTGGTTGCCGTCGGGATAACAATGCGTTCCAAGCATTCGGCGAACTTGTTAGACTCTGAAATAGCTCCTCGGCGATACTTTTTCATGACCGGCAACAACCCGTCCGCACCTTTAGACTGATTGTAGGAGAGCGGACCATGCAGATCCTCCAAAACTTGGTACTTCTGCTTCAAGTCTTCTACATCCTTCAAAAAGCTTCGGGGGACTTGCACGGTGTCTTGAGAGTCACTATTGTGACATTTTTCTCGATTTTCCGCAAGGGCAATTACCTGAAGCTTTGCGTTGGTAAGCGTACCCTCCTCCAAGTTTGCATTATTGAGGAGAGTGATTGCCAACACCTCGGCGATTTGCGAGCCGCTAGTTACATTTGAATGGATGAGGTGTTCGGCTGCAAGACCACGGAATCTTGAAACAAAAACGGAGAGATCTTCATTTTTCTTTCTGCGACACGTCATGAACTTGTTATAAGAGTCGATTAAACGGATTACGACTGCAATGGGAGGATCGACGGCGATCAACTCCACAATGTCAGTCACAGCCGCGATCTGGTCCTCTTGCTTGCAGTCAATGATCTTCTTGGCCTGAGCTTCATCATCGATAGATTGTTGAGCGCTCAGAAGGCCGCGGTCGTACAAGACGCGCCCAAGTGTGGCAAAGATTGTCTTGTAGACCCGATCAGGGCCCGAAAAAGCGGAGTGCTTGATAAGATCCACCCAGCGGTAGACCTTCTTGCGCCAATCCTGAAGATCACCATTCGGTTGAAAGAATGGGGGATCTAAGCGCGAGCGCAGGTCTTTCTTTTCGTTCAACCCTGGGCCCATAACTATGGTTGCGGTTGGTGCCGGCTCGTAGTATCCGCGCGTCGCGCAGCGATAGAGCGAACGAGGGGGGAACGTTAGTCGCGAGAGAGGGATGTGGCGCGGCGAAGAAGGAAGGGCACAATGTCCCCCGGGGTTGTAGCCTGCTCTGCCGCCCGGTGCGCCGACCAATTCTGGTCGGCGCTATTTCAATAAAATTGTACACCTAAAATATCCGTCGGCAGCGCCTGTCGCCGCCGGCGCTTTAGCCCGCACACGTGGCCTATTACCACGTGGCCCAACTACAACAGCACATATGTGTACTGTAATGCCGGTGCAGTCTTCAGAATCCTCAGATTTATTCAGATTCTACAATCTCAAGCCAATACTGTACTACTGTACACTGTAGAGCAACAGCCCAGTCGTCTACCCTTCGAAGGGTACAGAATTTGAGCTCAGCATGATCTCTCATTGCATCTTCACCCAATCCGGCGGCAGATACAGTACCGTTGGTACGGTTTCTGAATGGTAACGTCATCAAGCCCTCAACGTACGAGGATAAACTGACGACGAAGCTAACTTCACTCAACTGCACCACCCAAGTCGAATCTTCGCCTAAGAAATACCGCCTTGGCGCCGCCTCTCATCAGGACAACTGATAGTTCTGCAGTGAATTGCTTTCAATTTCGCGTCACGCGCGAGTCTTATTCAGCCTACTATTTGTCCCATACCAATCACAGGCACACCGTACTCCACTCCACTGCTTTTATCGCACTCTCTCAGGCCTAACTTTTCAGACGAATCACTTCACGGTGTCGTGGTTCAATGTATTACCACCTGAAGGACCGAAACCAGACCGTCAAGATGAAATCAGGCGTACGAGTCCCAAATCTATCTTTGACAAAGAAAGGCTCTCATGTCTCACCTTTTTCCCAGCTTCATTTGCCACTCGTACGTCTGCATCGAATTTCCGCGTTTCTGTATCCAGCGCGAATCCCGTCACGCCACGCTAGAGACACCTATTCCGTTCGAAAGCGTGCTTCATGTTGCCTTCAAACCCCGAAAACCCCCAGAACAGTTGGTGTTGCTGGCGCAGGAATCGGAGGACTTGCAACAGCGTTATGCCTTTTGCAAACTCCCGGCACTGGGGTCGAACACGTTTCAATTTTCGAACCGCGAGAAACCTTGGATACCGGCCTAGGAGGATTGCTAAATATCAATGGCGGCGCGGCAGTGCTGGCGAAGTACTACGACACCGACATTTGGAAAATTGGCAACGAAACCAAAACTGTTGTCGCAAGAGACACAAATGAATCCCTCATTTTTCAAGTCGACGTCCAAAAGCAGCTTGATAAGATGCCGGCAGAGAAAGATCTCCTTTCCAAAAATGGCCGTCCTGCCTTCATGTCTGTCATGCGAGATACCTTACAAGAGCTTTTGTATGAGTCTGTGCGATCAAATGCTGTATCGATACATCGAGGATCAGAGTATAAAGTGCTCGGTGTCGACACCGATGGTGAAAGCCCTTTTTTTGTTCTACCAAACGGTAGAAGAAGTGCCAACTTTGATCTTGTGGTTGGTGCAGATGGTATTCGTTCAAATGTGCGGCCTTTTGTGACAGGGACCGAAGAGGCACCCGAATACAGCGGTATACGGGTCCAGTGGGCCATAAACCCTCCTGGAAGCTGTTCTCTGAATGCCCACCTTTTAGAGCAGTACTTTGGCAACGGGGGATACGCTTTACGCTACGCCGCCGGTTTAGAGAGCTCTCTCACGGAAGCCATTGCGTTTTCGTTTCGAGCAAAGCAAGGAAGCGCTGAGAATATTTTATACCGTACAGAGAGTTCCGTCCAACAGGATATGGAAAGGCGTTTAGAGAAATGCGGCATGCCCCAGGTAATATTTGATGTTTTTGCGAAGAGCACTAGATTTATCGAAACATCAGTCTATTACCACAAATCACTGCAGTCATGGTCAAGGGGATGTTGCACACTGGTCGGTGACTCAGGTAAGTACCGGCAAAAACGGTAGCTTTGACTACTGGGCGGTAGCGACATCAAGGTTCTTCCTTCCTGTATGAGTCTGTAGAACTCTTATTTTTCTAACAATTGACATCTGATTACGGCTTGTAGCTCATGCGATGCCCCCATTCTTGGGTCAAGGAGCCAATCAAGCAATTCAGGACGCGCATACACTTGCTCGGGCACTTGCCGACATAGGAACACTTAACTCTAACCTCTCGCAAGCCCTACAACAATATGAGTCCATGCGTCGAGGGCCGACGACTGCACTCATGCAAAGCAGTCGCCTAATAGGTCTACTGGAAACTCAAGGAGGACCAATCGGCACGAAATTGCGAGATACTCTTTTTCGCGTTGCTGGACAGACTGGTGCTGTTGCGCAGACATTTGTTCAGTCTGCAACACCTCGCATTCCGCGGCAAGGCGTGAAGTAGCGTCATGCTTTGACCTGCATCGTGGGAGTGATGTTGACATCTCTGACATCAGATGAACCTTGCGAACTGCTCCTTCCCAAAATTCGCCCATAAATGTTTTAATAGCGCTCGGCAAGCGTGCAATCGTCCCTTAGTGGAAAAATTTCACACCCAGTCCGTCTTTAATGGAGAAACCTACGCGTTCAACTACAACTCGTCCTTCGCTGTGTCCTCAGGAGGTGTGCAAGGCCCTTTGGCATCGCAAGTTCCTACACGCGACGTCTGAATCGTTAAATCTACCGTCGCACCCGCAAGGCGCTCGTAAATTTCTTCCGTCATACGACTGGCAGCATCGTCGTACTCTTCCCACTCGCTAATAATCCGTTTTGCGCTTTCAAGCTTAGGCTCTTTCGTCATCGGATTGTTGCACAGGTCGATCGTCTTTGCGGTTTTCTTGCTCTCATCGTCACACCAGCTCTCACACCACAGCCACTCGGCGGGCAGGTCAAAAATTGGTACACTTGCGCCTGCACCAAGCGAGCCAGCTGAGGCATAATTTGGCAAATCCTGATCCAAATTGGACAATGAATTCGGGTCTGCACTGAGGCTCTGATAAATATACCGAAGAGTGTCTCCTGCAGCTGTCTCTCTGAAGCGCGCAAGATCAACAACGTATAATGCCGAAATTCGATACTTTGCGCCGCGCAACGTTTCCTTCCAAAATCCTTGCTTCCAAAATCGGTATCCTTCTACCTCTTTTCTCGAATCACAAAATGGGACGTATCCATATGGCGCTCCTTCTAAGTCGATATCCATCAGCTCTGCAAGATCACCGCGAGCCACTTGATCTGAGTCAACGAATATGACTCTACTGACGTCTAGAGGAAAGAGAACATCAAGGAACAGGATCTTGTAAGCCCAGATGATCCTTTGCTTCTCCGTTTGTGCTCGCAGCCATCCAGGCCATTTGTACGTTACCATACCAACCTCACATCCTAGCTGTTTCGCAAACAGCGGTAGCATTTTCTTGAAGGACGGAGACAAATAGTTTTCCAGTAGCCAAAACTTCACAGGCCTGCTCGCATGTCTCGTTACACTCGACATCATGATTTTCAAGAATCGCTCATACAGATGCCCCGATGCAACTGAAAATACGTGAATATAACCACCGTCCCTTTCCAAAATGCGCACTGGTGAGGATTTCGGCGCCGTAACCTTGTACATGGAAGATATGCTCGTCTTCAACCGCTCTGTGAGGCTCTTCGTATCTCCCTTTATCCTGTTCGGGTCCAAGACGGACATATTTTCCATCCCTGGCTTCCGTTCAACGCGTAGCAGTATGCCCCCGGCCCCGCTTAGAGATGCAACAAGAATCGGAACTCGACCTTCGCTGTCGACAGTGTAAATCGACTTCACCATACCAGTATACATTTCCATGATTCTCAAGGAAAAGATCTCAGCGCTCGGACCAGGGGCCAAACGTAAGAACCAACGCCCTGGAGTTGGCACTTTCAACTGAAAATATCCCAGATTTGCCATGACAAGAGTATCCACGGAGATTCCGTTCCCATTCTCTAGAATGAGTTTCAACCCCTGTGGTGGTTTGTCGTCTTCGTCAATGCACGAGCCTTCTACGATTAAGCTCTTGATTTCGTATTCAGCGTGAAGTCTCTTTGCTCCACTTGTAGGTAGCAAAACGTTATCCATGTCATAGTTCGTTGAATACGATGAGACAAACCAGGGTCTCGGCGGAATGACCGCAAAGGTCAGTACCCTCGCGATGGGCAAGCGACGAAATAAAGCCGTCAGACGATTTGCAATTCCACCAACCGCGTCTGAAGTCTGAGGGATGCCGAGAACAAATTTTGAGTATGTTGACGAAACATGATGCTTCATCTGCATTTGCTTTTCTAACGGGACAATCGCCAACGTCATAAACATATCCTTTCGGCCATACACTTCTCGCATAGCCATCAACAAACTTGAGAGAATGTACGGACGTTGACCGATCGGATTGACCACAGCGGAGATTCGAAGGGCTGTATCTGCCTGTCGCTTTTGATCGCCTTCAGAGGAGAACATGTACTCGGAGAGGTTGCTAGAGGACACAGCATTCGCAAAGTCACCAAAGTCCACATGACCAGTGCCTGCGGCACTACTCTGCTGTGAGGTGCACGCTTGAGCAACATCCTTCATGAGCATCGACCGAATCAGCTCAGTGTCAGCAGAACGTTGTGCCGGCGGCATGTCTTTATACTCCGACGCAACTTCGGTTTTCAGCTCACCGAGAGACGGTGCTTTGGAAAAGGGTAAGATTCTACCGTTGATCACAAAAACAATATCAGCCAAGCCGTCTCCATTTGATGAAGCTTCTAATGCCTTCCTGTGCAGAAGTAGCTCTGGATTGATTAAAGCAAACCTTGACCTTGTTCTCTCTGCAAATTTAGACTTCGCAAGCTGATTCATAAGAGATGATGCAGACTTGAACTCGGTCGAAGATTGGTCTGATGCAACCAACCAAACTGTAATCATAGGTTCTCTTTTCACGTTCCCTGACGAAACGGATTGCTCGTATCGCAGCTCTTCAAGCTCGTGCCTCACGGAAAACAGCACTGTCCCCGATATTCGCGTGAGCTCTCCTTTCGTCTTGATCTGAGATACTCTCTCATCCCCAGCTTTCATCTCCTCACTCAAGCTCTCCACAACGATCAATGACGAGTCTGCTTCAACCCAACCCCCAATCTTGGAGTCGACCAAGTCGCTCTCTAGGGAGGAAGAGCCCAATAACGCAGAAATTCGTTCTTGTTCGACAATAGCGATGCGGATGACATCAGCGGAAATATCCTTTAGGACAATCCCATTGAATATCCCAAGCATGGAAAACAACTTTGAGTCGTTTTCTTTCGAACGGTCTTTCGCACGACTCGCGTTTGCCAACAAGCCATTTTCCTCCGCAAAAGTCCGAGCTTCGTCTAATATGCCCCCAATCTCTTCATCTCCATCCAAGGTCTCTCTTGCAGATCCATAGCCACCCTCGATTTCTGGAGCGATTTGCTTGAAGGCTAGCTCTACAACCTGTTCCGATAGTTCAACCTGCTGATATCCGCCGCCCATGTATTGTAGTATTTGCTGGATCATTTGCAAAAAGCGAAATCCTGTTTTTCGCCCCTTCATGCGCAAGAAATAATGGAACGTTGCAGTGATTAGAGAAGATACTTGCCCATTGGGAATGAGAGCCATGCCGACATGAATTGGCAAATCAGCATGCACGACAGACTGCGGGATTCCGGTATATGGAAATTGTTGCGGGTCACCTGGATCAAGCAAGATTGTGAGTGAAAGATGATGAGCTTTCACCTTTACAAGCTGGAGGTGATCCTCATCAGATCCCTTGTCACTTCTTGTTCTCTTGACTTCTGTCTTGAACCCCATGACATCATCCTCACTTCGCACATTCAATGGCTTCCACTTGCGATAACGAGAGTCTTTCAGCAAGTCATTAACCCATACCAATGAAGATTTCAACGAGTTTTGCACGTCCAGATTCACACGGAGACGATTGCTGCTGTCAGATGATGGTCCGGAGGTTTGGATAGGAATCCGGTGTTCGCCATTCTCCTCTGATAGCATCCTTAGTTTCATTTCTGCGACTGATGTGACCGACAGGCACCGCAGAAGCTCCTCTGTGCCCTGCGTCAGCGACCCAACGTCGAAGGACCGATCATTGATAAAAAGGCAGTCATTCTCACCAAATTGCTCACGAAAACGACGAACAGCCGCCAGCACCCGTTTCTCTTCAGTTTTATCGTATGATTCCTGATCTGTAAACCTGTTGGAGCTAAGAACTGAAGGTGTGTCTTCAGTGAAAGCCTGCAAACGCTTGAGAGCATCATCAAGATCACCTTTGTCGCTCCTGGTTAAAAACCGAAATGCTTGTAATCCCGTGTACTCCTCAGACGCATTTGAGTTTGCCTCCGACCACTCGTATTCATCATTTTCGAATTCCGGGGCGGGGGAATCGCACGCCGTCTCGCCATAACGGCAGTCCTGAAAAAGCTTCGTAGAGAACACTCGATCATCAATGACTTTATATTCTGTGTTTTTGAGAGCTGCTTGTACGGTAAAGCCTTGGAGGCTCGGACGCAGGTCATCACTCTCGGGATTCATCCGTGATGGAAGCCAAAACCGTAGGAGAAAGTGATATTCACAGTGCCCAACCACATCTTCAACTTCGCGGAGCCATGATGCAAATTCCTTTGAATCCAAATCAGCGTATATGACTATCTTGGGTTTCAGTTCGTAGTTGCATTTCTCTGACATGAATACTTCGCCCGACAACGGGATAGAGGTTGAGAGACTTCCACTAAGATTTGGGGATTCGATGGAGGTACACGTTTCGCATTTGGCGATTTGTGATGCCTGCAACAAGAGCGTAGCCCTAGTGCCAGATGCATGCACCTTAACCGCAAAGACTTTCAGGTCTTCAAACGAGGAGCCCAATTCTGATGACGGATTAGTGGAATCGATGAATATGTTCAAAGTCTCGTTCGCAATCGTATAGTGGAGATAAACAAGAGGAGAAAACTCCCGTGTATGTAGGACCCAATCGAAAGTGTTCAAAACAAATGAATGTTTTGTGCCTACTATTTGAGATGAAAGAAATCCACGAGCAGCTTCGCATTCCTCGGAGCGTGTGCTGTCGGCGGAGTGCTCATTTCGGCGTTCAAGTACGGGAGTCTCTACGTGAGAAACAAGACGGTTCAGAAAAGTGATAGCTTGTGCATTACCCAAGTTCTATGTGAAGAAAACACAAAACAATCAGCGTTAGTTGCAGGTATTTGTTGTACAGAAATGGCAGTTGCCTGGGTGGAGGGAAATACATACATTCACTATCCACGTCGTGGCCTCTGCGGAACACGATGTCTCCGTCCACGATGAGTGAAGACCAATCTCTACGGAACTCGACGAAGCCTGGGGACATGCCGAAAGAAAGAAGAGCAAGGTTACAACAATTCTAGTGAAAAAGACGAACCGTAGCCTGACTGTTGAAAACATGATGATCTTTGCTTCGAACCAAATTGCTGTTGCGCGAAAGACCTCTAGATGTTGTTGTGCGCAGGTATTATCGCAGAACACGGCTCATCAGCGATGCAATTGGATCTGACCCTAGACATACACCTACGCCTGCAAGGGTGCAGACATTCTTTGACGATGGGTAAGTTCTCGGCAAAGATAGATGAAGTGAATACCGTAGTCGGTTCTCCACAGTCGTACTGTACTGTCGAATATCCCTACTACGTATTCAGTTGATCGGTATACAGTGGGTCCTACGTATTAGTGCCGCTTTTGTTTGTGCCACCCTCCCAATAGTGCAGGCCCAGACGCACGAACAGGAAAAGTGCCACGTGTCATACGGTTCTGGCTGTTATGCTACCAGTAACGCCATAGATGTTTTGGAGACGGTTCAGGTGGTGAGAATCCGCCTGAAATGCAATCAAGTGATGAAGATGAAAGCGCAGAAAATGAAATAGAGAAAAAGACTAACCCCATGTCGTCGAGATCGCGAAATTATTTGGAGAGCTGGAACTTTTGGCGACTGAGTGCCAAGTTCCAGACTCTCTATCGCATCTAAGGTTGACAAAGCGTGCATTTCTCACCGCGAAACACAGCAGAGAACCAACACGGAGCAGGCAGACGTTAATGACAGCTCTCCCCTCCCAACACCAACTAAATTTTTGCACTCCTGCACGGAGGTAAATTCGACCATAAGGAAAGAAACAATGCACAGCGGCTCATGCCCCAGATCCTAAAAAACAGTTCCGATCTCTAGTTAGAGATTCCTCAATGGCGCTGCTTAACAATGGGCGGGAGATGTAGCGATTTCAGGCAGCGTACCTTAAACTAACCTAGCGACGTACGTGAAGGCACTCCTTGACAACCACCCCAAACACTTTCTGGAGGCGACTTCGGTTCAAACTTGGACGTGGCGTCTTAAAGGATTGTACAGCACGCGCCGGGCGACGATCCAGGCGTTTGTCCGCCCCTCCTTCACTTGGGAAGTGGGTCCCAAGCCGACAGCAAAGCTTCATCTAAGACATCCTTCAGGCCTTACTAAGTGAGTGCACAGCCTTTTACAGTAGCCCTCCTCAGAGGTCCTGCCTTGTGCCGTCACGTCCCCTCCCAAAGTCAAAAGTAGTAAAAGGAAGAGTACAACTCTATTGTGTTCCACACCTCGACGGTCGGACGAGGTTCCGGCGATGACGGCCCCTGCAAAGGCAGGGCCTGACGCGTATGACGTTCGAGCTGGTGGTGTTGGACCAACCAATGGCCACTATGTGGCTCCGGTTCTACTGTAGTCGGGACCTACAAGGGTGAGCGCAATCTAGAAGCCTCAGTAAACTATCAGCCTTTCTTCAACTGCTCTACTTGAAATCTGGATCGACAAAAAACGGCAACTGAACAGCGACTGTTCTGCAAACTGGATGACTCTCATTGCGGTAGATAGACTAGCGTTCCGTAAAGCCAAGTGATACATGCGAAATCGAAGAACATTGAACAGCATTTTATTACTAGTGAGTGTCTCCTCACCGCTGCACACACCCGAGGCCTCACTATTATCCACTTTGTCAGAAAAACCCCAGAAGCTTTCATTCATCAGGACCACTTGCCACTGACAAATCTTACTGATGGTTCAAAGGTAAGAAGGGGCACCCCATTGACCAAATATCTTTCAAACCGTGCTCTGGACAACTCGCAGATAGGCTCTCCGCTGTAGATTGACATCTCCCTCAATCCTAGTCGAAGCACTTTTCGATCGTCTTTCCGTCTGTCTTGTGATATTTCTGCACATGCTCTCTCTTCTTCACTGTCCCAGCGCGCGTAGAAAGATGTGCCAATGGCACATTGCGGCCACAGACTCTACACATCACGGCCGCCGTGCTCGGGACTTACGCGGAGAAGAATATTGGCGTTGAGTCGGAGCGGACGGAAAGGATCTAAATGTGAAGGCACAAACGTATTGCTCAGGACAGTGCGGTTCTTTAAGACTGCGTTGTTCTTTAAGACTGACATTTCTATTGATCTGGCTTATCAGCGAGCGCACTCAGAGGGGCGATCTTGCAGTTTTTCCAGATCTGACTCCGCGATCGCCTTGTGCATACGCAACCTCTCTCAACGCGCTCTACGACAACGAGCACAAAAGATTTTATTGGAAAATCACAAGGGCGACGGAAAGAGCACGCAACATTGATTCCAGGATTGGGGAGAACATGTTGCGCAGCGAACAGCCTATCTACGAGTCGTCCAGAGCGCGCTGTGAGAGGGATTTGGTCAATGAGGTGCAACTTCTCACCTTTGATGTGAGCCATCGATACGTTTTGCTTGTGGCAAATGGTCCTGATGAATGGAGGCTTCCGGGATTTCTTTCTGACACGGTAGATGTCACCCCGATACCGGATGTGTGCAGCGCTGCTAAGACAGTCATTGGTATAGAATTTCCGTTCGTTGTTCTTCGACATTGTCACTTTGAGGAGTGGTCCGTTGAAACCGATGAAGGTTTAGACGCGGGAAGCCGCGGTATTCTTGTTGTTGAGTGCCATGAGAAATCTGAACGAGTGCCTTCTGGATGTATTTGGGTGGCCATCACCGATAATCACGGGGCGGGTGTCGTCCATGTCTCGCACTCGGAGAAAGGAGCAGAGCAAGCCATTCGGCGAGAACTGATACAGGCCACAGCCAACGTTTCGCCGCCTCAACGGGTGCCTTGGGCCTCTGTCGAATGGCATCATGAAACGTTTCGAAAAGTGCGCGAAATCTTGCGTGGACACAATTTGCATGTGATAGGGGATCTAGTTCAGATCCGTACGTCATACAGAGGAGCCGTGTTAAAGATCAAGACGAACGAGAGTGATTACTACCTAAAATGCAGCCCATTCACGTCGAACGATGCTGGAGTCACGTCGATAATGTCAAGCGTTGCTCCTGATCTTGTCGCCAAGCCGTTGTTTGCAGACGTGAAAAGTCGTCAAATGATCTTAGCCGACCATGGTGACGAGACTGGCCTGCTTAGATTGAAACTTGAAGGGCGTAAGCAGGTGATGAGAGATTTGGCGCGTCTGCACCGCGCAAGCACAAATGTGTTGCCCGATTTGTTGCAGGCCGGGCTACCATGTTATTCGGCGCTGTGGATGCGTGAGAACTTGACCTCTCTTTTTCAGTCTCAGGAGCTTTTGTCTGTGCGTGAAACGGAACCAAGCCAGAAGCTGTCCAACATCAAGGTCAAGCTGCAAGACGACCTGACGGAACTTATTGGTTGGGAAATGCCTAATTGTTTGGTACACAATGACGTGTTGGAAGGGAACCTAACCAGGAAGAGCGCCGATGAGAGTCCAGGGTTCCGGTTTTTTGACTTTGACAGCTCTTTCGCAAGCCACCCTTTGTTTGATGTGCAGTGGTTCGGCCGGGAGTTGCTGGAGGTCTATGCACAGGAAATGGACATAGCTGACATTGATGGATTGTGTAGCGTGAGGGCGAAAGCCTTTTATCTTTCAGATCTCGTGCAAGCATATAGATACTTGGACATGGCTAGGGAAGCAGAAGACGGTGCCCCCCGGGAAGACGCTCTTGAGTGGCTAGAGAAAAGTGTTCGTGCCTTGCTGAGCTGACCGACGAAGGAAAGGGTGACCACGTATTTTTGGGCTCAGCTAGCGTGTACGACGTTGTAGTCTGGGACGAACGGCTCTGCAGTTGGCATCAACTGTATGCGCGTCATAATGAGTACAAAAGAAAGTGTGACAGTTTTGGCGGGAGCATCGCCAGGACGACAGTAGAGGCATGAGAGTGGTCGGTTCTCGTTTTGCATGCATCACCCGGTTTTATGAAACGATAGTCCATCTTCTGGTAACGAGACATTCGCACACTGCACCGCGGTCGCCGGATTCGTGGTGGATAGAGCACAAGGAGGGGGCGCCTTAACTGGGCACAGGGATGGGGGGCGCAGCGTTGGGATGAGTGCGGGCGGAAGATATGTGGTATCTGCATCCTGGGGCGACACCGTGCGGGTGTGGGACGTGGATAGAGAAATCAAACTTCGTTGCGGGTGGGTACAGGATTGGCAAGACATCACGGATCGAATTCTGGGGACGGCAGACATGGGCAATGTCTCTTATACAAAACACATGGTAAATAACTGTACGCAAGAGAAGAGTTATGCAAAGGCGGGAGTACGGGTCTGAGGCTGTCCTGGCTCGACTGGAGACTACAGTGGACTCACTGATATGGCACGATCACGCAGTTGTAGCTGCAGCGGTGGCAAATCCGGTTGCTTCCACGAAGATAGTGGTCTATATTGCGAAAAGCCGTTGACGCTTGCCACCCCAGGCATTTGTGTTGTGTTGCAATGGCGCGTCATAGTAATTGAGGGGGGTGGGTTCATTTTGATGATACGAATGCTTGAGAGTCTTGTCTCATGGACGTTGCCAGTCCAAAGCTTTGTATCTATAATCTATCAACCAGCTTCCCGTCACCACACAGTCATCAACTCTTGGAGTGCGAGCGGATCTGACCTGTGAATGTTCTACAGTTCTTTCGTTGCGAAGGCTTGTCCTTGTCCTTAGTGCGGACAGACGACTAAGAAATCTTCACGGTGGTGTCAAAGCTTTCGGACGGTAGCCACGAAGCCGCCATCTTCTACCCAGATATAGACATCGCTGTCTCTCAGGTGCGCTCTGGTCAATGTCTCACCAAACGGCTCTACCGTGGCCGACAGTAGTGATGACAATGCTTCCCATCCAAGTCCGAAAAACTGACTCTAGATCCGGCGATGGAACGCGTTTTTCTTGTGAGAATTTTAGATTTCATTACGATTCGCCGCGATTTCGTTCCATCTCAATACAGTACCCACGGTACAATAATTTAGTACAATACAACTACTGTAGCATTATGCACAGCAGTGTTATCCGACACGTGGTCTCGGCTCCCGTCGCTTCGGGGCAGCTGAACAAGAACAAGCAAGGTATCCTCCGTCTGCTCGAACCCGCACACCGACCATCGAAATGTCCTAGATCGGAATCCTCGGTAGCACAGATGGACTCGATCACCTGGATATGCAGTAAGTGAAGCTATATGTTATCTCGAAGACTTCTTGTTTTCGAACCCGAAGACACCCGACGCGCATGAAGACTTCAAGTTGTGTTACCTATTCTTTCGGCGCCTAAGTTTAATTCTTGCACTCAATGGCGTCGGGTGTCTTCGGTTTGCAGCCAGTACGGTACCTCTGTGCCCCCCTCCCTGTACGTCGCAGCTCCAGACCCTGACTGTGACGTTGTCTCTGGGCAAACTACCCTTCGTCATGACACCGGTTGATGCATCGAAGTCGCTGACCATAGTGCATGCCAACATTGCCCCCTCAATCTTCGTCGGTAGGCGCAGCCATATGCGAAATGTAGATTTCCAAGGTGCCAACAACTCAGTGCATACCTGCTAGCGTGTTTGAAAGTCGCTGATCTCAAGCAACAGCGGGGGAAATAACGCCCGAATCCAATCTTCCTTTTCCCCTTGTCTGTCCGTGCAGTCATCACTTCCGACAACTTCCATCAGCGCCAACCGCCCAGCTTCTTGGCTTTAGGCGAGTACACCTAAGCGCACCCAAGCTCACACCGCTCATCCCATCTGAAGCTGATGAGTTGCTTTTCCAACACCGTAGAGAAACGGGTGCCTTCCCCATAAACGGGCCCAGAGCTATCATGAGGCAGGACCCGGCATGCGGGGTTAGCTCTAACGGAGTTGTCCAGTGCCTCTTAACCTAATCTTGAGACACGTACTGCTCCAATATCCTAGTCCTGTCATCCCGCAACCTTCTCGTAAATCGACGTAGTCACCATCAAAGAAATAAACCTTAATGGTATGCACTAGAACAGCTCGGTGTCGCTTGGAAATCCAATCGCGCGTAGAACCCGTTTCCTTGCGATGGCGGGGCACTCTGCGGCATGCTGACGACCCTGTCTCCTCCGGCACTTGGCAGAGCAAAACCTCATCGCACAGCCATACATGCATCCCACGACCTTGGCGTCGTTCAAATTCCCGTCCCCTGATGTTGTCTCTGCACGCAAGGCGGAGCAGGTGCAGGTCGCCTTCCCTTCGCTTTCGAGGTTCTCTGAACTAGCGGTGATGGGGCTGTACATCGTAAGGTTCGCATCCGGAGAGGCGGTCGTAGCACCAGTGGTGGCGCTATGTAATGCCTCGAGCCATGGATCTCTCTGCTCCGGCGAAAGCGCTGTCTGAATGATCTTCGCCGTTGCCTCAGTTGCTCTTTCCATTTCTCCTCCGACCTCGCTTGATTTGTCATCCACAGCTTTCTGTAGAGAACTGGCCAACCCCTCCAAGGACGCAATCAGAGTAGTCATGTCATCATCAGCCATCTCAGATGTCGTCGTGAAAGGGCACGTACCGTAATACGGGCAAGTGTGAATCCCAGGGCAGCTGACGGTCGGAAATGTATAAGACACAAAAACACTGGAGATTGTTATCTCACGTCTTGAGAAATGTTTCGGTACCTGGGTGCGCTATGTGGTACACGCACATACCGTACGCATGGCGCTCTTGAGTCTGACCTTCAAAGGTGGAGAACAGCACGTTGGCACCTTGAGATGCAGTCCTCACATACCACCTTACGCCAGATTTCACTAACCACACCGGAAAGAAAATTAATACTCTCTGTTTTTTAAGTGCAGTACGTACTGTATAGGGCTCCTGCGACACAACCATCGTCCCAATCTCGTCCAATGCCCGAACACTAGAGCGCTTGCCCTCCTTGCTAAAGTTTACCGCGCGTCCCGCTCTATCTGCGCACCGGTAACCCCGCGCCCCCACCTCTTCAAATGACGGTCCTGGCCATTGTCCTGACGCCCACCGCCGCCTTCAAGACACGACATTCGATGCCACACAAGGTGCCCTTCGCAATGTCTTTCGTCGCGCTAGCCTGCCCTATCCGCCTCGCGCTCTGGTCCCCGGCGTCGGTATCTGGATCTACATATACGCCCCAGTCGCGGATCTCCCCGCCTTGGAGACTATCCAAGCCCGCACAATCTCGCCCTCGATGCGTTGCGTGTAGGCCATATGTCTGGCTCATGCTCACTTCCAATGAGCAGTCCTATTGCAGTGGTGACATCGTTTGGCTGTTTAGTCCTCGTAGTGGGAAATGGCGTACAGGGCGGTAGGTAGGCGTGTGGGTATGATTCACATTAATTGCTTGATAATCCAAGCTGGCTTTTTATCAATCGCTCGCTATTGGGAATGGCGCGAACCCTGTTCGTTTCACAATCATCGAGTAGCTCCCTGCTTTTACGAATATACCTTCGTTGGAAGAGCTTACTCGCAAACCGACGGATAAGCTGACGGAAGTAGAAAGCTAGAAAGCTATAACACTTTTGTGAGACTAAAAAGACTTCTTGACACCGAGTTCAAGAGTAGTCAGTTTTCTCTCTTCTTATTAATACAATTTTGGAGCCCTCCGCCTGTGTGATTAAGATGAGCAATATATTTTTTGCTGTAAAAGGTTTGTACAAGCTCAACAAAATGATTAAAACGACGCGCAAGGTAAGCTCAGTCCTACTGATATTTATTATCACAGTAGTACATTTCGCGAAAATAGGGTGCGGTCTGCATCCATAAAAACAGTCTTCTTTCGAGTATGAATCAGTACGTACTACATACATTTCTTTGAGACCACAGTAATCGCGTTCAGGTTTCAACAAGACAGGATTATAACGTTCAATCATGCTGTCTTAAAGGAGGGCCTGAGGGCCTCTCAGTGGGCATGCTTAATTCGTGAAGAATGTGATTATCGAAGACGAAACAAGACATACTCGGCCACCGTTGACGGAAGTAAACGGATTCCCTAGCTGAGAGCATTGGTCGTTTTCCCTTCAATGGCGTTTCGGCTTCACTTCAAAGGGAGCAAGATATGGTGCATATCAGTTCCCGTTCAAGTGTTCAGGGACCACATCTTCGTGCTTTATTCGCACGTGTCTGCATTCATGAAAGGCTTAGTAGGCCTGAATTCTAGAAAGAACTTCTTTTCGGACAGCATTTGGAGACGAAAAAGGGGTTTTAGATGGCAGCCGTTCTCTTACATCGGAGATAAACTTATCGATCCTTTCGAGTAAACATCAAAGATATACTGTATCTACCGTAGTATGTACCGTAACCATGTTTTGCAGATTGTGATTCCTGAAGGTGAACGCACCGTTGGATGGGTTGGGTGTTCGGGTTGTCTCTCTCCCTCTCTCTTTCACTGCTGTTCAGTAGGCGAGAGTATGCCGATGTCGGCTGTCGACAGCGAGTAGCCCCGAAAAACATTTGAATTAGATAATGCTCAACTTCGGTGTACAGGGGGGGGTCGCTCAATAGTGCCTACTTTAGTAGTGCTTCCCTCTATATAGTGCTATGGCTCACCCTCTGGCACAGGTTATCATAAGCTCACACGTGTATCATCCGGCATGGTTCAGTACTCAAAGGATGAAGTTATTTAGTTGTGTTATACAGGCTTTGTTGTGTTTGTGTTTGCAGTAGAGCTCGAATTCAGTAGCTTTGTAAATGTGAAAACACTAAGCAGTGTGCAGAGAACGGCGTTTGTAGGTGAAATACTTTATTTTTTGCAATTGACGCAATCGTTGCGCAAACAGGAGCAAATTGCGAAAAAGAGCAAGCATAAAGAAAGAACAACGAGCAGCTTGGCTGGCACAGTAAGCAGTGGCGTACTTCGAAGCATACTAAGTGTTAAGTATGTCCAGCATCGCCCCCGCGCCCATCTCTTCACCTCTTCCATCCGCACCCAGCGCCGAGGACATGCGTGCAGCACGTTTCGCGCGGTAGAGCTTCTGCGAAGCTTTACGCTTTTCAGCTTTTTTGACGCCGATCTCAGTCAGTCGCCGTTTGTACTGCTTGGCGTGTAGACCGTCGACATCCCTCAATGGGTGCCATTTGGCATGCAAATTTGTCAACGCAACGCACAATTTGAAAACGTGGTCGTAATGCTTCTCATCCCACCTCCATCTATTGGCCATTACAGCCCATAGCGTACAGAGCCGCCCGAAGTAGTTCTCTACAATAATGCGGTCAGAACTAATGTTTCGGTTTGTCCGCTGCTCTTCCGAAGTGAGCATTCCTCCCTTTGGCTTTTTCTTCGGACTTATTGCCCTAATGACATCTGCTGCGCCCTGATAACCTTTGTCCATCAAAACAGCCCAAAGCCCCTCATATTCCTCCGCCAATGGACCAACATCTGGAAAGTTTTCCATTTCCTCTCGGGTTTTTGCCAGTGCTGAACCATGCCACTGGACGTTGTCCCTGAAGATTGTTAAGTCTGAAACAGAGCCTGGCTGATGTGGCGTTGCTCCAATTGCGATGCCGTTTGGCAATACCGATACCTCGGACTTGTACCCATACATTTTGTGCTTGTTACTGAAGTAAGTTTTGCTCTCTTCGTGATTTCCGGATGGCCTGTTGCATGCCTGGAAGGTGACATCCGTAGCATACAGTGCAAACTTGTAGTGCTTGAAGGTCTTCTTCTCATGCAGAAGACGTTGCATGGTGTAACGCTTCTCATACTTGATCACGGCCAGATCATACAGTACATCCACAATCCTCTCGACAAACCCTAGAATCATGCGCTCAAATGTTGGGCCTTTGACGCCAAACATCTTTCCATTAAAGTCCCAATTTCCACTGTGCTTCAGCGTGGAAAGTAACATAAAGAACACGTCTTTCGGTTGATGCTGGCATTTTCGACCCCGACCGCAATTCCAGTCCGTAGTGATTGCATCCTTGAGAATGTTCCAGATTGCGTTGAACTCTAGAAGAGAAAAGTTTGTCATTTCAAGAACAGCGACGGCTCCCCCAGACGCAATGAAGGCGTCCATGACTGGCGAGTCTGATTCTTCGACATCGGAGTCAGTGTCAGTGGCTTGACTGTCTGGGAGAAATACAGCGAGATTTTCCTCACGCTCCGCCCGTTTCTCGGCGAGTATCTTCAGAACATTTCCAGCTTTCGTGGGGGTGACGTATTCCATGGTGGTTGACGGCAGTTGAGAGCGGATCAGGGCCGGTGAGAGCGGATCAGGGCGGGTGAGGACGGGTGGGGTGTGGGTGAGGGTGGATGAGGGCGGGTACGTGCGAGTGCGGGCGCGGGTCAGGGCGGTTCAGGGCGGCTGTAGGCGGGTCTGGGTGTGTAAGGGCGCCGGTTGGGCGTGCGTGGGGGCTGGTGGGATGAGTTAGGGCGGGTGAGGATGTGCGGTGACAAGAAGTGGCGTCCTGCTCGCTTTATATAGGCTCGCGGGCGCCTGAACAGTTCGTAGTTAGGGACAGAGTCCGTTTTGTTCCTGACAGTGTAGAGTGTTTGAGTTGCAACTCTTTTGGCGGCAAGAGCGGCATACGTGGTCTTTGCATGATGACTGTGTCGTTTCTGTAAAGAGTCGATCTTAGGGGGCTTTGGTTGTGTATTTACCCAATGATAATGTCCATAGAAATTGTACATTTGCTTTATGCAAAAACACAGTGTTTACCACAAAGATGCCGCTTTCGCATATGTGACGATCTTCTGCGCAACGTCTGAGTCGATTGGTATGCTACCCTACTGTTGTACCAATCGACGTGTCCTCTAATATACAGAGCGATAACTGCACTAAAGGTCTAGTGTGCTTTGTCCCCAAATATATGTATTTGAGCCTCCTTTATATAGTGCCATTCCCGCAATAGTGCCATAGCTAGACGTATGTCACGCTATAGCACTATATCGTAGGAGGCACTGTACTGTACGGGGGGCACGGGCGAATAAATATACTCTACTGTAAACTTTACTTGTAGTCAGGGTTTTCTAGAGTGTGACGAGGCAGAAACTGGTCAGGGAGGAGGCAGAAACTGGTCAGGGAGGAGGCAGAAACTGGTCAGGGAGGAGGCAGAAACTGGTCAGGGAGGAGGCAGAAACTGGTCAGGGAGGAGGCAGAAACTGGTCAGGGAGGAGGCAGAAACTGGTCAGGGAGAAGGCATCACCGTATTGTTGTGCGAGGACCGAAGAAGAGATTAACAAGGTACCCCCAGGGAGTCAGGCGCCCCTGGATTTTGGCCCTATATTTATTCACCCGTGCCCCCTCGTACAGTACACCGAAGTAGAGCATTACCTAATTCAAATGTTTTTCGGGGCTACCCCTCCAGAGGGGCTCAATTTGGGACGTGGCTCAATTTGGGACATCTCAGTTTCGAGCCAACCACCAATGCGTCCAAGCACTACATGGCCAACAATATTAGTACAAGCGTTCCCAATTGACATGTGTTTCATCAGAAATTCAAAACTCCCGCCCAAACAGAGCACTAAAGGTAGTTTCCCATGTACTGCAGCCGATCAGGACAGTCCGTGCCAGTCCAAAAAACGTATCTCGCCAACATGCCGCCCTCTATGCGGCGACAAGCGTCGCCGAGCGAAAAGCGAGAAGCGCGGGACGAAGTCTCGAAGAGCAACAGAAAAGCCGCCCTTGCTCTTTTCCGCTTAGGGTGGCCAATCAGGCAAGTTGCAGAAAAGTGCAATTTATCCAAGACAACTGCAGGAAGAATCAAAAAAGCCCTGCATTCAAAAGACATGGCCTCCGTCCAAAGGCTTTTACATCCAGCACAACACCATGCTGTTCGCAAAACACGATGGACGCAAACGGAAGCGGAAATGATAAATGAACGTATAGTTCATGCCGCTGAAAGGCGATTTGCAATTGATATCTCTACAATGAAAGCAACTTTAGGACGCATATGTGCAGACGGGAGGCAGCCTTATGAAAAGGAAATTCCGTCGAATGCCGCAATAAGAACCTATAGAGCGCTGAACAGAGATGTGACATACCGAAACGGGGAGAGCAAGGAGGCGGCCAAGATCAAAGCTGAAAGTTTCGCACATGTACACACGTTTGTGACTGCCCTTCAGAAAGTCCAGACCAAACACTCGGGTATTTTTGACAACCCAGACAACGTCTGGAACTTAGATGAAACGCACGTCGACGGTGAGTTTGGCCAGCGTATCAAGAGGTTTTGCGGGTCCCATTCTGACCATGGTGGCTATACTGCTTGTCAAAAAGGATCTGGGAAACATCTCACAGCTGTAATTATTGCGTCCGCATCTGGAAAGTGTAGTCCTTTGTTTGCTATTGCAGCAGGAAAATATGTCATGCAGCAATGGCTTGAGCCATTGCCGTCACAGTCTTTTCACGATCAGAATGGCCACCCCCACTGGTTGGCTCAGCCAGGTTGGATGCCTGCGGATGTTGTTCTACGATGCACTGAAAAGGGGTCAATAGACATGCGAACCATGCCTATTCTCATCCAGCATATAAATCGCTACATTCGTCAGTTTGTGCCTTCCCAACAACCTGTTGTGTTGATTCAAGACGGCCATTCGTCTCGTAATGGCGTGAAGTGGATCGAAGAAGCCCTAAAGTGTAACATTGAGCTCGTGGTCTTCCCCGCCAACACAACACATTTTTTGCAGCCTTGCAATGACGTAATTAACAAACAGTTTCAAAAGTAAGTGCGCTGTACCAGAGATAAATTGCTTCGCATGGCTCTAATTAACGTTCACTTGATGGGCTTCAAGCTGAAATTAGCCGTAGCTGGTCACGCGGCATTGACTCCCGATATCGTGAGACAAGCGTTTATTAACACCGGCCTCTCGCCGATGGATTTCCGCTTCATTGAAAAGTTTAAACAAAAAAAGCGGGGACATTTGCATGCTGCGAAAAAAAAGCTATTCGTCTACAAAACTCGAGTCCAGTGCCGTCAGTCACGAGTGTTCAGAAACGGCATGCAGATGGCGAAACAATGAAGGAATTGGCGTTCGTGCTTATCCGTGAACGAAGTCTGCCGGTGGCCATTGATGCCATCTCGAGATTACTGAAAGAGCGCGAGACTGTATCCTCGATATTACCGGAAATACGTCCTAGTCCAGTGGCCAACAGTAAGTCTGTCAGCAGGAAAACATTGTGCGTCGGAGCACCAGCGCAGTGTTTGACAGTTGGAGATATTTTCCAACGTCGGAAGGACGCCGAGATTGAAGCCGGCGCAGAGGCTAATCACAAAGCGATTGCGAAAAAGGATAATATCGCACGCAAGGCTTTAGAAAAGAAGCAGAAAGCGGAAGCGCGAGCAGAACGGAAAAGAAAGAAGTTGTATCGAAACTGCCAAAACAAGAATATTTTGGGTGAGACAGCATCTGTAAGTGGAGCTGAACGTTCTGATGCCATCGTTGTTTGCGCTCAGAGTAGTGGGAGGGCGTCGGATGATCAAGGGACGGCCGATTGCGGTGTTGCAGTGAGTGCCTTGATGCAGCTAGCGAGTAAACACTGACCCAAATGGGAATAATAAGTGTCCCAAATTGAACCCTTTTTTGTTTTGGCGCGGTTAAGATATCAATGCTGACTTGGCCTAGCCGTTGGAAAAAAATTAACCAATGAAGTTTCACGATGATTGGGATTGATGGTGGTGTCCAATGACTGTCAAATGAGGCTTTACCAGACTGGGAAACGACATTCTTTGGATGCACGGGAGGCGATGCACCAAAGCTGTCCCAAATTGAGCCCCTCTGGAGGGGTACTCGCTGTCGGCATACTCCCGCCTACTGAACAGCAGTGAAAGAGAGAGGGAGAGAGACAACCCGAACACCCAACCCATCCAATGGTGCGTTTATCTTCACCTTCCAGTGTGTGTATATGAGAGAGAGAGGGAGAGAGACAACCCGAACACCCAACCCATCCAACGGTGCGTTCACCTTCACCTTCCAGGTGGATACATGGCTGATATAAAAGAGGGGAAGACGTGTGTGTGTGTGTAAAAAAGGGCAAGATGTGTGTGTGTGTGTGTTTGTGTGTGTGTGTGTGTGTAAAAAAGGGCAAGATGTTTGTGTGTGTGTGTAAAAAAGGGGAATATGTGTGTATGCGTGTGTATACAAAAGGGGAAGTATGTGTGAGAGAGACAGAGAGAGGGACAGACAGAGAGAGAGAAAACCAGAACACCCAACCCAACCAAGGGTCCGTACACCATCACATTCACCCTGCAAGCCGGCGCTCACCGCCGACGCTCCCGTCGCGCAGTGCCACCCTCGCCTCCCCCCGCGGCACGTTGCCGCAGATAACGTCACAACGCTCATCCGCTTCTGACTGACCCCAACTGCTTCACCTGCTTCTGCAACACCCCTCTTGACCCCCGAGGCGCCACCCCACCACAGAACAGTTCGTAAGCCAGACACCATAAGACGACACTCAAAACTCAATCAAAATGAGGATGATCGGAAACTGCCCGTGTCCTTGCGTATATGTATCAGAATCGGAGACGTTTTTTGTCATGGAGGGCGACTTTCAGACGTGTTTACAATGTACAGGATATGACGAGACATTGAAGCTACTAGAAGGGTGCTCTAACAGAAATAGATGGTCGAGAGGTTTATCAATCGGCAGCACTGTCTTGACAGGAACTGCGGGAGTTGCGACCATAGTCGCCACGCACGGTGCGGCATTTATGGGGGTCTTCAAAGTGGGAGACCGCATGGTCAGGCGAGTTAAAAGAAAATACGAAAAACGAAAGGTACTGCGCGAGCATATTAACTTGATTCGCGCCGCTCGCAGCGTCACAGGTTGCAAGTGTGTTATGGACCCTACGCCGGATGCCGTGTGCGGACAGATTGAGCTAAATTCTGCTATACAGGGGATGAGTCGTCCCGTCTACAAAACTTGAATGACATGACTGCCCACGTGACAAAAGGAATATGTCGAGGTACTCGCCAGGACATGATTGCCTTGCAGGCCAGGCAAGTCTCGCATGTATATTGTCCTATATTTCTCATTTAGTGTCCATCCGACCGGCCCTTGTCCTCATATGAGTACAGCTCTTTTTTTGCAAAAATATATAAATTAAAGTGAACATTCGAAAAGCTACCTTAAGCACTATTTCCTTAACGTGCTTGTTTTCGGCAAATAGCATCTTGCAGAACACCGGGATAGCAGCTTTGAATGCACAAAAAGCTTAAGAATATAATGCAGATTGAGTACCGAGTTACTTTTTTGAACTGGTGTTTTTGGTTTTGAAGTTATTTTACATGCGGTTTTAGGGTGGTTTAAAAAAAGCTTCTTTCCCAGACATATATAAAAACGACCACCGAGAACATGCAATTCTCACAACGTTTTTTCTGGTCCTATGTCAGAAGTCAAGTACGGTGGCGGGGGTATCATTTTCTTTCTTGTCGGGGAAGCGGAAGTCAAGAATAAAATAGGTCGAATACTGTCCTAACATGAGGACAATGGTCCGCTAGACACTAGTGTCTACTAGACGACCAGCGATTTACCTCATATGAGATCAGGCATGGCCTCAAATGAGGCCACCTTTTTTTGCAAAAATATATACATTAACGTTGTCCGTAAAGTCACGAAAACGCGTGTTTTGGCGGCGAGTTTGCTCGGATTTTCTGAACGCAAATTTTTCAAACAACGCGTTTGGCAAAACTCACAGCATACCGAAAACTCGGGGCATGTGAGTTTTCCACGAGTTTCACATCCGCCTGATCACAGCAGTGCCGGATCGACCCGTCGTGAAGAAAAACGAAGTGGGTCTTCCGTTCTTTTCATCAGCACAAACGAGCCTCAGACTGCACGGGTCGTATCGATATGCATCATGGACGCCCCTATCGCTTCATCTGCGCAGACTTCATCAATGGAGCAAAGCGCGACAGGATCTACCACAGATGCCGCCGAAGCAACCGCGAAAAATAGACAAGTATAAGCTTCTAAAAAGCGGTCCTCTCTAAACGGCCCCCCTCAGCCTGCCAAGAAGACGAAACACATCGCCCTTTCGACTGAGAACCTTTCTATCCTTGTGGCGAGCTACAATATTCTCTTCAGCGAGTGTTCGCGCAGGTGCACGTGATGCGTGGGGCGGAACAACGATATACCAGACTTCCGTTTGTTGCGGGCAGGTACCCTGCTGGAGGTCAGTCTGCAAAACTCGTGGTGGGATTCTTCAAACTCGGGTTTACTTTCCGTCCAGCGAGTTTGTGGGCAAATGGAAAAAACGCGTTATTTTACGGACAACGTTATTAAATCGAAACTTTATAAAGTCAGTTTGGACACAATTTCTTTAACGTATATGTGCTCGGCAATAACATCTTGCAAAACACTGGGATAGCATTTGTGAATACACAGAAAGACTAAGAATCTAGTGAAGTTTCAATCTTCGGTTGACATTTTAAACAGGCCTTTGCTTTCGAAGATATCAACACATGACGTTTTGAGGTTGTTCAAAAAGATTCTTTTTTAGGCACTCTAAAAATGGCTGGAAAAGACGAGCAAATCTCACCGAACTCCACCCTTCCGTAACGCACAAGTCAAGTGCGGTGGCGAGAGTATCTTTTTCTTTCATGTTGAGCAAGCACAAGTCGAAAAAAAATAAGTTGGAAAATGACCTCATATGAGGTCACTTGTCGTCTAGACACTGGAGCGCATGCCAGGACAAAATCGCCTTGCAGGCTAGGCTCGTAATCATTCTGTCTTGTTACTCTCCTGAAATGCACGCCAGGACAAGATCGCCTTGCAGGCCAGTTTGGTCTAGCCAGCGCAGTCTCGCATTCATTTTTGTCGATCTAGTCCCGACAAAAAGAAAGAGAGTTAGAGAAAGGTAAAGTTTACTCGGGCTACCAGACCGCGCTCACCCTTGTAGATTCCGGCTAAACGCCGAGACCACGTAGTGTTCATGAGTTTCGTCCGACACCGCCCCTCCATCGTCACACCCATTAGGCCCTGCCGCTGCTGTGGCGGCAGGGGCGGCCAGCGCCGGAACCTCGGCAGGCCACCGAGGAGCGAGCACAGCAGAAAACGACTCTTGACCATGCTATATTCCGACACCCCGGAGGTCGGGAGGTCACAGAGCGGCCGTCGCCGCCTTATTAAATAATGCACCGGAGTACCAACTGTAGTCTAGTATCCTTAGTATCCTTCCCCCTCTCATAGCTCAACCATCGCCACATTTACAATTTTGTCCTACAGTATTCCTGATCTAGACCGCTACCCCTACGGTACAGTAGAATGCATGCCAGGACAAGGTTTGCCTTGCAGGTTAAGCAGGGTCTGTAGTATCGTAGTCGTTTTATCGTTGTCATTTTGTCGCATCCCTCAGCTGAAAAAGCACGCCAGGACAGGATGCCTTGCAGGCTGGTGTCGCAGTCATTTGTTCGCATTTCGCCCCTTGAACATCTCTGGTTGGAGAGGTGATGAGGGGTTGTGGATATAAGGTATTCCTCTCTGACGTGCATAGGACACAACATTGGACATCGATATGTGTTGTCATGTGCAAGAATGCCGTTGGGGAGAAATGCGTGTTGAAGCTCCCAATCGATTAATGAAGTGTTTACGATGCAAGGAAACTACGCTTTGATCATGGCGGTTAAAGGTGATCTTGGAAGATTAAGTAGTCGTCAAGAGTGTACACGGGCCTGAGCCCTGTTTCGCGAACTTTGTAATCTACAGCGAAACGATTTTCAGCTGGGCTTAGACTCCGAAGCGGGGCCGCCCAACTGAGCGACTACGGAAGCAGGTGCTCGACAAACTGGAGAACGTAGATGATTGCGCATGAGGGTGACATTCTGGCTCTTTGTTATATGTGAACAGTAGTTGCACACGTTTGCGAGAAATTTTCCACTTGGGGCAATATTTCGGGTGAATGAGAGAGGTGCTACAGACTTTCTCCTGCCGCGGCGAGGGCGAGCGCTTCTGGTCGACTTGGGCGGGACCGGATGCAATGGCGGAGTAGATGCAAGCGTAGATGCAGTATCAGGTATAGTTGCAGAAAGCGTACCCGTTTGATTGCGTTGCGGTGTAGAGGGACTTGAAGCGGGTTGATCTGGTGGAGGCAGTGGTTGCTGAGGTGATGTGGTTGTGATGGCAAGTGTGTTCGGTCGGAGGTGCGGATGAGAGGGGCGGGCTTCTCCGGTGTGCTTGGTTTGGTTGGTAGTTGTCAACCCAGGCTTGGAGAAAGTAGGCGGGTTGTTCTGTCGGGGGGAGGAGGAGGATGGGGTGGGCGTTTCTGTGTGTAAATTGGTGGGTGGTGCAGTATTGGTATTGGGGTGAGCTTGCGTTGTTGTGGGTGGTTGTGGGTGGGCGTGTATGTTTTGTTGCTGAGTATTGAAAGAAGGAATAAGAGAGACGACGGTTTGTTGTTGCTGAGGGGTGGGTGTGTTGTGTTGGTGGTGAGCGACAGAGGGTGGAAGCAGGGTGAGCTTGACGGATTGTGGGGCGGCACCGCATGCTTGGAGGATGTGTCTCTTGAGATAAGTTGCGTTCTGTGAGGCATCGACGGGAATTG